TTCTAGTGTAATGTTCCCGTGATATACCGTTCTTAATGTCCATGTGGTCTAAATGTTTGCCCTCTTGGCAGGTTGGGGTATCGTACTTGATATCATTGTGTTGTTGGTACTGACAAACAATTAACGCAATACAATGCAATTAGCAGTGTCGTTAGATTAAGTAGTGATTACCCAATAACGTTCATTTGGCTTTTATTTCTTTTAAAGAGTAGTTCATAATGAAGTCAGTGGGTGGCGAATACAAACTCTGGTCGGCTAATAAAGACAATTACAAAACATTCCCACAGACTAATTGATTAAAATACAGATAGTTTTACAAACAGCTTAACAGCTTTAAACAGTCCAGTAATGGAGCGCAGTTGGCGAATTATCAACTGTTAAAACAGTTCTTTGAAACTTGATAACAATTAATGCGCAACTTTGATAGTGAACCCAAACTGTGCGTTGCTTTTTTTAATGAGAAAAAAATAAAATATTTTGTAGTCGTGATTTTTTTTCGAACAAACTAAAAAATACAGTGGGAGTAAAGCACTAAATTGGATATACCAGCGATGCATAATATTGAAAATCCGTGGTATGTAGGATGCAGGTTACACCCTGGGAGAGAACTTCACGGAGTTTACACGTATGAGGGCGATAATTCCGTTTAAATGTAGTTAGTATACATAACTCTGTCATTCTACAAAAAATAACTTCTAAGTAATATACTACTGACACAGATGGCATGTTGAGGCTCAATGATCAGATTAAAATAACGGTTAACATGTACAGTTAATTTCTAACGAATTGGATGGCCATCTAGCGTAGAAACTAAAAGTTGGCTTGATTGAAAAGTGGGCAAACAAACAAGCTTCTAAAATCATTGAGTTATTCGGTACACAAATAATCAATCGGCCAATGTGTGTGTCTGTGTACTATGTTGTATCAAATTCCTTTAATATGTCCAAACACTAAAGTGCCGCTTTTGAAGTTGTGTGGAAGTCCATCGGTAGTCTCCGCCCCCATAATTTGCCATCCAAACAGGCTGCGTATTGAATTTCGAACGAGGTAAGTAATACCGCACAACTAAACCCCCACCTCGGGTACATCAAAGAAACTTCTGTATTTTTCGTCGGGAATTATGGGATAGCCAGGGCGGGGATGTTCGCTGATGCGGCAACTTATTGGCGGAGACTACTTTGAGAGAACACACACTTGATCGCCGAGAGGTTGGCGCTTTCGCTTCGGTTACCAGCTAAAGGTGACTGCAAAAGCCGAACACGTCAGACTCAAAATAGTCCAGAGCACTTAAATTCCGTTTGAATGCCATGTAACACAGGTGAAAGAGATTACATTTGCCTATTCCTCGAATTAATTAACCGAACGACTGGTCTGTTCACACGCACAAACATGCATATGCATTCTGACCGCTCTCTCCCAAGTCTTCGGAAATTGTTCCACCACCAAGTGCCTATTTAGACTATCGCTCATGCTTCCAAAAAAACAGTGTCGGTATTTTTTTTAATTGCATACCCACATATTCATTTACAAAGGCGTATATTATTGTTATGACACTTGCAATTAAATATACAGTGTACAGTAAACTGATAGAATGTATAAACATCAAACACACATATTTTATTTCTGATATGTTTTAACCTTTAGTTTACATGAGTGCAAGTTGCGCATGTGTGATTGTTTGTGTGCGTGCTTTTTGCTGCATGTGTAAAGATCGGATAGCTAATCAGAGCGTGGTGGCATTCGATATCTCTGTGGATCGAGCATGTCAACTGCGCCCTGTTGCCACTGAAATTAGCCACACTGTGCGTTTGTAACATTACACTCTATATAATTACACCGAATAGGAAGAGTTACCGGAGCACAATTAGCGTGTTTATAATTGCGACTTTGGTTCGAATTTTATATCTTCCGTTACCCTCGCTGTATTCGACAGACACATGCATCCAATGTTACCATAAAACAAATCTCTGAGATATCAAGTTAAATCGTGCAATGCACCCGTTTTATACCTAATCACGGAAGTTTAAGATATTCGTAATAACTATTTCAGTCGTGGCGATATACCGCTAGACACTATCGAACTTAGCAAACCATTGTACAATGTATACTGAGCACACAGAAATGTAAGTTATCTTCCGCGCTACCACATAAAGGTACCCCCTCTAGCGCCAGAAAGTACGGTAATCAATGCGAATAGGGTAGTGGAAGTATGGGAGATTTCTAACCACGCCCACAAAGCAATGCGACAAACGCCAACACCGTGTACAGAAAACGGATGATAGTGTGCTCCGCCCTGCTATTTATTTAAAGGACACTATTGGGTGTTTTGTGACAGACGAAGAGGGGATTTGTTAAGTGGAAACTGTCAATCAAGGTCCATGCTAGGATAATGTATTCAGACAGTGTTAGCTAAGCGGTGGTGTCCACCAATCGCATTGCAAACTTAATTGAGGAATAATTTAGTACGCGCGCCGTTTACTTCATTAATAATATGTCTAGCAAGCCATTCAAGGCATGCTAGCATAGTAAAAGAGCTTTGGTGAAAGGGGGTTGGGCTTTCGGCACCACAAACAGACGAAAAACGAAAGAGGGCTAAAACTGACAGGACTACGTAGCGAGAATAAACTGTGCATAAACCAGGCTGCAGTGTACGAGTCAACCCTATGGCACAAAGCGAGTGAGCTTCAAGCCCGGCGTCTCTTTTCTGTCCTTGTTATACCAACTCGTCGCCCGAAGGCAGTATTTTGTTTCGAATAGGACTCGATCCCGAGCATTGCTCTTCAGTTTCAATCAATCGGCTGTTACAAGGGGATTTGACCTCCGTAGTCAGTTCAGTGTTGTGTTTACGTGTAGCATAGTGGGGACCAACTACTATACTGTTCGTACAAATACGGAAATCGACGTTTTTTACCCATGATTGGACTTAATGCACCAAACTGGACTCGATAGGACCCATTCGTACAACCTCTCCAACCCTATAGTGAGAGGTGTTACACGCAGGCATGGCTCAGGTAGGAGCCCTTTATTAAGCGCTGCAACCTCCACCAACGTGTGTTCTCAATAAGAGTCAGTATAAACGTACACGAGTCGGCGGCGCACCACTCAGAAGTCTCTCAGCAATCCAAGCAACTCACAACCGAATCCTTGTCCTCCCGGCGGCATGCCCTCAATCCACTCTTTGATTGACTCAAGCTACGGCTCCGAGGTGCTTCGAATTTTCCAACAATAATCCTACTTGTTCCTATTTATCAGCCTTCACCACTCAGCTTGTCATTTATATCCCTAGTCAATGTGAAACTAGGACCGGCCCGACATGTGAGAGTGCGTGAAGGCCGGTACTAAGCGCTCTGGTTGCATCCTTCGTCACTCGGTCTTCCTAACACTCACGTACAGTACTATCAACTAACTCGTAACATTTGTTTAGTTGGTAGTACTGCGGTTGGTGTTTTTGTGTGTACGCATGTTCTGAGTCCAGAGTAATGTTAGTATACATGCATTGATTCGGCCGTGCATGAACTGACCGACCACTCAATGTGACTTTTTTGTTAATAGTTTGGATCCTTGCATTGCACGTACTCGTATTAACACAGGCACTTCACCAACGTCAAAGTCCCTCACTTTCCTTCCCAGCAAAAATGTTTATAAATTTCTTTTGTGAAAGTCGTGCACTTTTGTTGTTTTTTTTTTTGTTTTTTTCAATTTATATCATACTGACGTTATTTTTCTGTTTATTTCCTAGGAGCGGAGTGATCTTGTGACTGGCCACAGATCAGGTTTTACCACAGGAACTGTCGGTAATTCGACGTCGTCTTTCTCGTCGGCACCGAGACTGTCGCATACTCCGACTACGGATTTCCAACCCCCGTATTTTCCACCGCCCTACAACATCCCACAGCAACCGTCACAGTTGGATTTTCACCATCATGTTAACACAGATCCGTATTCTCACCTTAATACCCTGCACCAACCCCAACAACATTACCACCAACTGCAACAACGCCCACAGCATGTCTTGCGACATAGGGACGATACCGACCCACTGCATCTGCAAACCAACATGCACCCCAGCATGTCACAACTTTCTGCATTGGACGGTAGACGAGACTACGGTGGGGTTCGCCGTCCCGATGTGTTAGTACATGGAGGCCACCACGGCCTCGGGAATCCAGACACCGATTTGCTGCTACACGGCTCCAGTCTAGGCCATGGGTTGGACTCAGACTCACAGGTACGCACATCAACTATCGTTTATAATTTCTCTATATCGAACTTAATTATTAATTTATTTGTTTATTATTATCCTTGTTTTTATCATCAATATTCTTTCTTTTTTCTTGTTTTGTTGCTAACGTTTTATATATTTGATGGTTTATGCTTAGTCGTGTTCACGTTTCGCTGTGTCTGTGAATAGTTTAGAGTTTTCATTTTAATAACAACCCAAAACATGAGCAAACTTTTGGAGATGATCGTTTTCGTTTGAAACTGCACCGCTATTCAGTAAAAAAATCCTAATAATATATGGTTATATCAGTTTATTTGAACATTTAATACGCATAATAATATTGCAAATATTTTTTTAAATTATCTCTTACCAATTTTAATGATCATGTATTGGTCGTCGTTAACGGCACACTGTAGTGACTTCGAATCTGTGACTATCGAGTCCATTGCAGTGGCACGCTAAACTTGTCTTCTCGACTGCCAGTGCCCGGGTTACCTTGAAACACAGACGAATATGTTTTTTTTGTATATCTCATGAATTTGTGTGTATGTTCAGGGTATGCATTGTCGTCGTAGGTTATTTTAGACGAACGTAAACTAACACAAAAATAGCAAACATCGTCGATATATTGAAGTTCTTTAACGCGCTGTAATTTAATTTCGACTAGTGGCCATTCAGGAGTATTGAAGAAGCATATCAGAGCCGCCCGCTCGGCGTTGTTTAGTGGGTGACCAACAGCATTCACGGGTCTGTTAGATATTGGTGAAACTTACAACATTAGAACGTATTTTTGCTAACCCACCATCACACGTTTACACCTCGTTATAACAGCCTATTTGTCATTTAACTAGTCTAAGATTTAAGACCGGTCTATTCATTTCACTAAATTACAGAGACAAAAATTAATACTAGTATCTCGTGTGAGTCCCAAACTAATAGTATACTCCGATCAGTCCATGCTGGCAAGATGCGTCACACTATAAATCCAATATTCTTACCTCCATTCAGCCAGTTCTATAATCAATGCCCCTTATACAACTTTAAACGAAATGAAATGTTCTCTGTGTTTAGACTTCCAAATATTGACTCATTCTTAAGTTGACGTTTGTTTCTGTCGTCTTTCATCTACGTTGGCTATTGAGTGGTTTCTTATTCATTATAGGTGCTTAAATTCTTGCATTTTATTCGTTCTTTGGAGATGCAGTCCATTTACCGACAGCAGTAAAAAATCGCCAGTGTTTATTTTTATTTGATTGTAAAATAAATTTGGTCGAATAGTTATTTTAATCCTGCTTAGTTGCTTAGTTGAAATTTTGTTTGTTTTTCCCTATCATATGTTCTCATGGTGTGATTAGGAAAACAATCTAGTCGATGCCTACTGGGACGTCGGATTCGACCAGTTGTATATATCCCCCCTTTGGTTTTAAGCTGTTTTAAAAGCAAGGAGCGAGGAATCGAACTAAATACGTAACAACACACGTCCTAACGCAGTCGTATTTTTGATATGGTGACTAGCGATGATCTGCGTATCACAAACTGGCCCCACTAAAAGAGACCGTACCGTTCATTCCGTTTACATCGCACACTGTGTACACATAGGCACACACTCAGCGCAGTTGCAACTTATCCTACAACACCCATCTACAACTTGTGTTAAAATTATGTACAGTAGTGTACAACAACACAAACAGACGGTTGTTGTTTCGCCCAACTACCTTCGAATCTGGCCACCATTTTCTTTTTTTCTCAAAAAATATACTTCCGTGTGCATTGGTGTTAGCATGTTAAAAATGAAGTCCCTTGTACAAAATATAAAATAACACGTAGGAAGATGAATTTTAGGAGTTTACAGTGTGAACGAGGAATGTTACCAATGGAATTGTAGGGGGCATTGTAAGTGAGTAAACGGGGCAGTGAATAAAGCAACGGAGTGAAGCGGAGAGAATCGTTTTGTATCTATTCATGTGTTTGGGGGCCTGAGAGCAATGTACACAAGAAATGCACTCATTTGGTTTGTTTAACACAAAGGAATACATGCAAATGTAGCTACACTATATACGGGACAAGCATTAACAGAGAAGACAAGAACAAAACATGTCCAAGTGCCACTTTTAACTCACGCCGTTTACGGTTTTAGCTCATTTCAAAACAAGCATATATGCATATTAGAATTCCAAAGCTTTCGCTTGAGTCTAATTACTCTGAGACCTTCTAGCCGCTGATCGCAAAGTTTATCCCCGAATTCAACGACAGTCGGTGGATGTGTTACGACTTGTCCATGTCCAGTGGGTTTTCGGTGGTCCATTAGCAGCGGGGTGATCGTAGAGTAGCAAAGAATTGGAGGCCACGGCCTGCTTATAGACAGACACCAGTGAACCCAGGATGTGAATCATACCGGGCGTTAGAGAGTTCTGCACTCCATTTGTCGATTCATTGATTCATTCAAATTCCAGATACAGTCCTTTTTTCCGCATGCTTAGCTCATTACATTGGCCTTAAATTCAGTACAATGTCCTGAGTCCGAGGACCACCTAAATTTCACTCGGCAGTTATTGTCCCCTGACTCCTCCTTTTCCCTTAAAGACGCCGATGTGCATTTTTCACTACCGAAAGTGCTCAAAATCAAGGCAAGATACTATGATCAGCCGAATAGTGACTTGGCATAGAGTTGTGGGATCCTTTTAATACAATCACTACCCGTTACTTACTCACTAGCCTCAGACCAATAATGTAGTAATTATTGTGCGCAAAGCTGCCATTGCCGTTCAATCATTTTTCTTGACATATGAGACGATTTTGGCTTTATTTCTCATAGTCTCATTAAGTTCGTTTGCTTTATACACGCACAGTCGTCATCGGTACTGATTTAGCTTTTTTGTTTTACCAGATCATCGCCACAAACAGTTTATTCATTCATTCATTCGTTCGTTCATTCATTCATTCAATCATTCATTCATTCGTTCGTTCATTCATTCATTCATACATTCATTCAACTTGATATATTTAACTTGTTGTTTTTCTCCATCCCAGCGTCTGTAATTTGCATACATCCCCCAACGAGAAATTATTCTTTTTGTCAATATGATTATTTGATATTTGTGAAGAATTTGACGAAATCATGTACACAAGAGGCTCTCTAATTTTTCTAATAAGCAGATCACAGGGACACACCAGAATGTTACCAACGTAACAAAGAAACACTTGTATATCTTTTATCAGAAAATTTCGGGTTGTTTTCAAAATATCGCTAGCCCCGAGGACGTGACAGTAGGTTGATTCCTACATTGTACTGCCAAACCAATCTATTTATATCAAACTTTGTAGACATAAAAGACGCCATGATATTCGGTTGGAAGGGAACACAATAGAATTTAGCATAACACTGCGTTATTGCTCTTTTATGTGGCACTATATCTTATATGAAGTCACGTGGGACCAAATACAATTTACTTACAGCATCCAATCCATAGTTATTGTCAATTATTTATTTTGTATAGTCTTGGATTTCTTCGTTTGTGTGTTCAACTTCAGCTAATCTCAACCTAGAATAGGTTACACATACTGGCCAAGGCGTTGTAGACCAGACTGGCATCGTGCTATGTGAGAGAATTCGCATAGGTAACACGCCTTCCAAATCGATGAGTACTTAGTCCCTTTGATTACAGCATATAAATGGGGGAATTGGTATAATGTGCGAGCTATTTTCTGCTTTGTCAAGGACCAGTGATCAAGAGAAGTGACAAGTAAGATGTGAGATTTCAAGCTTGGTCATTAAATATTGTTTTAAATTGTTGTATCTATCTTCGGTTTTCGACACGTGGCCCGTGGCTTTGACTCATAATGCACAGTACCAGCCACTGTCTGATTACTTCGCCCAACTCTCTGAAATAGCCACAAACCAAATAGAAAAAAATAAACGAAAATTCACTTTTTAATAATACAAATGCTTCTAAGAAGCAAATGAAATATTTGTTTTCGGATGCCGGACATTTTATTAAATGTATTTTGTTGTGTGTGTATGCGGCCATTTACGTATAGTCAAGACTGGGCTTACACGCTGTATGATAGATTGAACAAACCTAGCGAGCTTTGGGAAAAGCTGCATTCCCCTTTTTCAGTTTGTATTATTAGATTTTCTAAATCTGCAAGCTAAATTGTTCATACTCAAAGGTCAACCCATCTTCTCACATAGCTGAGGCAATTTCCTTAGACCTGGGATTATGAATAAATTTTACTATTCTGGAGTGCCTTTCCATGAAAGCAATTGCTCTACAGCTGCCGGGCTCTGAAATAGATCAGTGCAGAGGGTAAAAACATCTTTCGCATCTTCTACTCAAAGGTGTCTTTTTCAGTTACACCTTAGCTTATTAATGGGCTGCGTGAAATGCTAATACACATTCGAACATAGTTATGTTGTCATGGTAATAGTTTGCATCTGTGTCAGCGTATAATGTAAAATCTATAGTTTTTTAGCTACACAGATAATAGTGAGATGGTGATAGTGGTAGATATGTTACAGTCAGACGTATAGAGTCGAGAACACTTTAAATATAAAAATTAAATCGCTTCGCAATTCAAAATGTCGCCTACGCCATCCGTGACGATTACAAAGTAGAATTTGTCTGCAATAATAAGTTGTAACGCTACCTGTCCTGTATATCACATAACAATGCATAATGTATAATTGTAGTTAAATATTGAAATTACTGAATAACGCATAGTGTGTAGTGTGCTAGCCAATACAACTAGGGGGTTTTCGGGAATTACAAACGGTAATTTTGTTAGTGTAAATTTGGTTATAGCGTCATAGCTAATTTTACTCGCTGTTCGCCAAGTAACTCGCCCGTGTGTGACACTCAGATGTTACCTTGTGCGAATCGATTAACGCCTCCTTTTAATACTGCGTTACAGCAGTCAAGGAATAACACTTCTTTAACGGTCGTTTTGTCAGCCCCAATTCTCGTGGGGCACGAGAAAGTTGATTTGTCCCACTGCATGGAGACATTAATCCAGTCCCATCCTAAAACCTAGGATTACCATGGCAATTTAATAGATTAACAATACAATTCAGACTTCAGCCTAGTCACTTAACTGACAATTCACTCTAAACAATCGCTTACATTTTTATTTATTTTTTCCTTCGCTTTGCCTGTCATTCATACTGAACACGTGGGACGCGCGGACGATTGGATTTTAATTACCTGCGCGATGTGTTCGTAACACTGGCAGTGCGTGGCGGTCTAACGTGAACTTACAAGTGTTCCCTGTTGGGATCGTACGGTATCATTGGATCGTCTCGCTGGCTGTGCCCCTCGATCTCCATTCCTATCTTGAATCAGTGCTTAGACACAGTCTAGAGAAATAGCGCCAGTTTATTACAACCTGCTGTGGAACTGTTGGAGGCATGCCTTCTATGTTTGCTCTGAAATGTTATATGCGAGTATAAACTGGGAAAAAATCCATTATACATCCGTTTCGCATACTAACACGAGGGAGATCCCGGGTGAGATTCAGACCGTTTCACCTATGCTGTTTGTTTATTATATAGTACGCGGTTTCTGCGAATATACGACATCGCGTTCGTCGTAACCACTAGAATATACCTGCATCACTCACTCAACTGTGTTCGGAATACTTGCAAAATTCTGATATACATTCGGTAAAACTCTCCTTTTACAATTTGATTCTTGTAGACAGGTTTGAATCACAGCCTAGCGGAGGCCATTGCTAATTTACGCTCTTGTCTCGGTAAACGATACAGCGGTCATACCAGTTGGTGTTCGATTTCAATTCTTATCTAGTGAACGTCACACTAGAAAAAAAATACAGACAACGTTATCGAGAATTACCGTCAAAATGTCTTCCTTTTTTTCTTGCAAAGATTTGAAAGGCTTGGATGATATTCACATGTACAGCAAGGGCACGGTGTCAGTCAGCAGTACGGGCCGTGTACACAAGTAGTTACTAGAACATGTACTGTAAATAAAAAAAAAAAACGGTATTGTCTTCTGTGTTGTCGCTTTGTGATTGATTGATGCAAGAAATTCCCCGTAAATTTATCGATTTAGTACAAAGATTACGCAGAGCAGTTTTCGAATTCCATTTCAAGTCTGTTTGTCAATAGTTATCATGTTTTACATCCATAAGTGGGGAGCGTTGTATGGATGCTCCTATACCGTGTTCTCATTGTTATGTCCACTTTTAGAGTTCTTTTTCCCCTTTCCTTCTAAATTTCAGTTAATTGCAAGTTATTGACCAAAAGTTTGCTCTAATTGCCTCCAAGTTAACAACCCAATAATTGGCCTTTTTGTTGGTATTTTATTTCACCAATACGATCTCCGTTTGCCCGTTCATCGTAGCACATTCATCGACGAATGTTTTTTTTGCACAAGTCCACATTGTTATCCCGATGGGGAGTGCTTCACGAGGCGTAGTCGGCGACATACGTAGTTCAGTATATCCTTTTTTCTAGTAGAGTCTCTAAGCTTAAAACATTCTTGAACACGCTTTCTTACTATCTACCTTCTCATCAATGGCTCCGCAATCACCTCCTCCTTTGTTGTTGTATTCTCTTCTATAGACCCGGCTGATTGAATGAGCCTTACTCATACGTTTGGTTGGGCTGATTTCTTGTGTAAACAATTAGACTCTGTGCTAGTGATTCATTCCTATGGTAAAATCAGACTCAAGAGTACTTGAGTTGAAGAAGGAGACTTCTCGCTCTTCACTACTATTAGTGATCATGTTTATCGTTTATGTCCACAATAAATGGCCCATATTGTTAAAATAAAATCACTCCCCGTTCATAAGGTATCTTTGTATTCAAACACGAGTATTCTATTCATTTCGGGCTGCGATGCCTCAGACACGTTCAACTTGTATACGTACTGGTTTTTGATAGTTTCCATTGTGTGACAGTCAAGGTAGAAAATAATATTTAGTATAAGTAGGCGACCATTTTTTATTAACATTTGTTGTTGTTGTTACTGTTGTTGCAAAATAAGTAAACAAAACAAAAATAACTGAAACTAGAGGTGCAATTTCATTCGAGACGATTGTCGATTGGGTTTTAGCATTTAGAATAACGTGGACTGGAAAATGACACTGACACTTTATTAAAATGTTATAACTAACGTTATTTACACAGACGAACAGTGGCGAGACATGGCTGAAATGGAAAGGCCAGTACAGCTATTACGATGCAGCAGTTCAGTGGATGCGTTATGGAGACCATAATGTTAGTATCTCCATCATCATTCTCCGATAATATATAGTATTTGCTTGTATATCACGAGGAGTGGCCATTTTGAAACCCCCTACTCCGTTTTCTAAGTTTTCACCAACGGTTCCTTTATTAAGTGTTGCGGCATCATAAAAAAGTATGACAGACGGTCTCCTTATTTGCCCATAGGCCATGTAAGAAATGCGTCCTTTGATGCATGACCATATAAATAACCAGTGGCCTGGTATTTACATTACTTTATTTACATACAACACTGAAATTACTCATAATTGCAAACAATCTACTTGAAATATTCGCTGGGTATTATTATTTATCTGCGATTTGGGTATGCTAATTACAGACACAGTTACAATTAGCAAAAACAATTGCTCATGTGATTTAAAAACAGTTAATAACAAAAATGATAGGAGACACAGACACAGCGTAGCTGATCCAAGTCTTGGCTTACTCTTGTTGTTTTCATATATATAATATATATCATATATCTGCCCACACTTATGCACATCAACATTCATCCAACTCTGTCCTCTTGGCTTTTTTCAGTCTTGCTTACAGCGTTTAATTTCTTTCGTTTCTACAGCAAGCTGGCGATGACACAGGTACCTTTATTGCCGGTGAACACAACTCAGTGATCAGAAAGGGTGAGTTAACATTATCATCTTCTTTATTTTAGCGTCCGTCACGGTGTGTGTTCAGATAGCGAGTTTCGGTTCCCAATTTTATTCCTGGTTTTGTTGTGTTCTTGTTATTGGTTAATTTGTGTAATTAGCGGATGTAAAAACCTTGTTATAAAAGCAAGCCGTGACTTTGATACGTCGCGTCATAACAGGGCGCATCTATTTAATGAATGACCTGATTCGTTCCTCGCATTCACCGGCAGTGTGGGTCTCTGTTTGCCGTGCTAAACATCTGCGAATTCTCGTCTTCCTAATAACGGTGTGCCATTTATTCGTCCGTCAATTTTGAGTGATTTAGACAACATACAGCTATGCTTGTTAAAAATAATTTGAAAACAAGAAATACAAAATCACACGAAACTAGCACTGCTGTTTTTTTTTTTTTTTTTTTATTTTTATACGTTGGTTTTCAACCCTTGATTTATACGATCAACCATAGCTCAAGGACTTGAGTCCATTTTAACGAAAATGAGGCAGGGGATAGAATTAACAAGACGCTTGTATGGTGGGCTTATTATTACGGAGCTTTAATACATACTAAAACAGGTTTCATTAAAGACCGCGTAATACGATAGGCTGACCGTTTACGCCAGAGTATGTGTGGCTGTAACCAGTTAATCTTTCTATTTAGCAACACAATATAGATTTTTCACTATGTTGTGCGTAATTATCGGAATAGTCACTACCGTCTTTAATTTCACTATACAGTTAATTCTCTTAAACAGTATTTTCGTACGATGTTAGCGCCAAATGCTATTATTGTAGCACACGTAAGTGTCAGATAGTGGCATTTGGAACAGTGAGGAGCATTACAACTGTCTGAACAGTTGGACGAAAGCTTGAAGGGCCGGGTGCATCATGCGTATTTATGGGTGTGAATAGGATCTTAGAAACAGCATGGATATTAATTTCAACCATTTTAATAAAATCGAGTTCTCGGGCGCTATCGGTCATGAAAAACAAAGCAGAGTTTGCCCAGCGTCACAGGAGGGAAATACAAGTAAAATAGAGGACAATGCGCGGAGGGTGGAGGGGCTAGTAGTGGGTGCAGCAAAGGGAATCAAATGACTGACATGTGAAAGAAAAAGGGTTTCCACAAAGCAATGATCTGGTGAATATGAAAAATAACGTCAAGTATAGTATAGATAGCGAGGTCATAATGTTTACTGCTATATTATAGAGGACTACAAAGAAGACGACGAGAATGAGCTAGACCCATGAAAGGGAGTTGACACCCGGTTTGAGTCTCATTTGAAAAAAAAGAACGTTTAGAAAAAACATCGAGCCGGTTCATTCATTTGTGGTACAATGCCTGGCATTGTGTTTGTCTGTTTGTTGCTTTCAATCGCTGTGTACACCAACAGGATTTTAAGGATATAATGACAGTAGAAGTGATAAGAGAACCACTGATTGAACGATAGAGGGGCGGTGTGTCATTCACTTGGCTGTGCAAATTAGGTGAAAAATACGATTATGCCCGTAAGAAAGGTTGCTATAGTAATTGGAAAGAGAAAAGCACCATTGCAGAACTATACAGGTTTTTTTTAACAAGGCCAATATCTTTAAGTTGAGGGGCTGAATCAAATGAAGATTTACATTAAAGTTTGATAGGCTGCCACTTGAAGTATGTTTGACTAAGGGTCTTACAAAGACTACTTACATGGTCTACGCTGATTAGTTATTATCTACTAGTATCTTAGAATATCGTAAATTTATTAATCTTGGTTTATCAACTGAGATGTTCAGGGTTAAGTTATTATTAAGTATTGTGCATAATAGTGTAAGTATTATGTTAGTTGGATCATCTACTAGAGTACTGGAAGTGAGATTAATATTAATGTGGTTGGTTTATCAAATTAGGTGTTCAAGTTTAGGTTAGTATCAGATATGGTGTATTGTATTATATGGATTGAGCTAAGCTAACATTAATCTACCTGATTTCACAGCTGGGTATGGACTGGTTGGTTTCAATGCCGATTGGAAGGTGTTCTCAAAATTGTGAATAGAAAATATGCATATGTATAGAATCATGTTTCTTTGTGAAATCACGTGACATGAATTAAATTAACATATTGGTGTGTAACTCAACGTTACAATTTGTTTTAAAACCATGTTAATTTACGAGAAACTTTGAAGGTCATTATATGTGTAGGGTTCGCCTATCAATTGGAGTGTTCACAGTGGCCTACATATTTGCTAATCTGCCAACTAATGAGTGGTGGTAATTCCAGTTTTAACTAGTTGTTTAAACTAATGATTGGTTGGTCGATTGGTTTATCAATTAAAGTACGGGGAATTAGCTTTAGTTAATCTTGCTTATCAACTGATTCGAATGTAGCGACGTTGATAACGGTACGATTGGTTTATCAATTAATCTGTACAAAATGACACTGAGTTATAGTTAGTCGTGTTTATCTAAAGTGCACAGTTTTTCGTTACTCATATTGTCCAATTCGTCAAATATGATTTACGAAGAGATTAAGTTTCCGCGACTAACGTTTATATTAGTTATAGTCGTGAAGGTACTTAGTGTGACAATCAGGCTAGCAGTTAAAATAAATATGACTTGACAGAAGAAAGTAAATTATATTTTATTTATTTATTTATCTATCTATTTGTGTTTGTACTGATATCCACCGCTGTTCTCTGTTCAAGATCGTCAGTGTAACTACATATATTATAGAAGTTATACAACTGTGGGTTTTTAGCAATTGAAAGGGCTTTTTATGTTTTCATTATTTATTGTGTTTGTATAATATTTCATTTTTATGATATTATATTATAATAGTCAGCAGACGTACTACTGTGAATCGTCTCTGCCAGCCTTTGCCAAACCAAATTATATCTGTTATACTCACGATCAAAGAAGACGAACACAAATATTAATTTTCTATTTCGCACACAGCAAGTAAAGAGGGGTCACTCTCAGAAGGCGTCGATTGTGCCGAATACAACCATGAGTGGTAATTTAAACCATTCCATAGAGAATTGAAACGAACAACACCTTCACAATTTTCGACAATCTGTGATTTTTTCGAACAATTAACCATGGCGGTATATCGAGTTGTTTTATTCGTAGTTTTACGCCTTTCTTTAACCTTGGTCACGTCGACGTGAAATATCCATTTTAAATAAGAATATTTTATTAATAGTGACAATTTATGTGATAGGTGCGTTTAGTGGATGCTCTGATACAACGTGGACATGACTGCTCAAAATGATCGCAAACAAATAAATGGAACCATCTAAGTGGAAAACAAAGCTAGCACTTTTACTGACATTTATCAATAAATACCGAATCTCGATTGCTAAGATATGGAAAGTCTTTTAAGTCACGTGTTATATTAGTGTAATAATAGGAAGGGAGTTTGTCATGGCTGCAGTGTGTATTTCGTCAAAATATAATACCCAAATATCCCGAATTAACAAACAAAGGAATATAATTATTGATATTACTGTTTAATTTCGACTTCGTTGTTATTTCCGGGTCTTACATATAAAAGACAAACTCGACACGTGTTCTGACTGACATACACTGTCCATAGGGATTTTTTTATATTTTGAAGGCGTGCTGTTGTCAAGTGCACTCAAAATAGAGTTCGTCTTGTTCGTTAAATCTGCATCTAGTGACTCCTGCCAAAGCATGGTCGTCTTAAATAATTATAAAGCGACGTTATAACTTATAAATTTAGCGATCGAAGATATAGAAAAAATACTCGAAGAAAAAAAGGGCTAACAAAATGGTAATTGATAAACGGTATCTCTCTTTCCGTTGAGTTGGGAAGGAATAGATTCGACATTCCCATCCATAAACTAGCCAAGTGGTTAGCAATAAATGCTCACTTTCTTGCAAACCATTTAAAATATAAAAAAAAAACATACATTAAAATATATCGATTTTTATTCTAAGATGTGCGCATATTTAGTTATTTTAATCATAAACAATTTAACGAACAAGAAACATTTTGATTGGTTTAGGGTCTTTGTGTTTTTTTTGGAAATTCAATATCCCCTTTGTTGAAGAGTTTGTGATACCCAGTTTCTATGGAAATCACCGCAGACGAGTTGAAGTTCAATTATGGGATGCGACCATATATTTGCCAGCAATAATCAGTCATGAATGGAGATAGCCCAACTTACATGACGGGCCTATTGTGCCCTATTAGTTTAATTACAAGACCACTGTCCACCTTTCTACCGCGTTTTGCTGTCATAATTGTACCCGTCTATTCAACCCCAATTTTCGTCGCCTAGCAAAGTTTAATTTCGCGCGTAGTTGAAAGGAATTGCGTTTGGCATTTACTCGTTAGACGTCATAAATGACATTGGCAAAACCGATAAATTGCGTTGAACTTGGCAAGTTGGCGTTTGTTTATGATAGGTTTTGATGAAGACTTCGGCATGGCAGATAATTGAATGAACTCAAATAAGCGCTTACAAGTAAACACAAATACTGATCCAGTATGTGCCCACAACAGTAAAAATGTAAGTGGTGATTTTTTTTATAGCAGACGAAAGTGTCATTATCAAGTGCTAGTTCATTCCAGATGGAATTGTAGGTTGCCAACAGGTTGTATGGGCTTTCCCATGAGGAGTGTAGGGCACCCTGAATGGTACTAATTAAATTGAGATGGGACGAGACAATGGACGAAAACATCTCCCTATCTATGGTAGCATGTTAACTGACTCGGGGTAATTATATGATTTGGGGGGTATAATTCACAGCAGTGAGTTGATACGGAATGTGCTTGGGCTGGGCTTTGTCTGAGCTGCCAACACGAATCGCGCACAGCCCAATACACCCCAAAGGGTTCTTCGCCCTGCTAGCTCACAGAAATGCCGCACGGACGCCAAGAAGGGTTCCAATTGGCGCACTTCACACGAGGGGCCGCGGTCGGATTATCCAGCATTCGTCGCTTTCACTGATGCCGCCTTTTCATGTTAATTCTGCTGCTCGGCCAGCT